CTGGGTGTTTGAAGTGGTCTAGAGTGCACAGGCCTCAGTTTGCCTGGGCCTTTAGGTATCCCTGCATTCTTCGCATGTCTGAAACCTGTTTCTTACTGCTGCGCAGTGATACCAGAAAAGGCCTCCTGCGCAGCCGCACGGACATACTTATTCTGTGCTCGGGGCATAACTATGTCCCAGTAAGGTATCCATCTATCCTTCTGTATAGCTATCCATCTGTCTATCTATCCATCTATCTATCTATATCCACCCACTACTTTCACTTTTAATAATCTGGACAAATGTATTTTTAGTGTAAAAGCGCAGTACAAATCGAAGAATTATCCATAAAAATGAATTTCTCCTCTCATTTTCTTCCAAAAATCTGAAGGAAAGTGGCGAGGGAAGAAAATGAAAGGGCGAGTGTATGAGAGAGAGAGTGAGTGAGCGCGCGCACGTTAAGTCTAGTTCTAGACATGACAGTGCGCACGAAGGATATATGTTAGATATATTTGTGAGAAACTTGAAACTTTTCTATATCTATATATTTATAGAAACTGTGAAACTTTGAATCCTGTTAAAAGTAGGATTTTTTCCACTTTTTCATTTCTAGTGATTCTAACGCCAACATACATAAACTATACGGTACAACGCGTACATGATATTATTTAAAGATGCTGTAGGTGGACCACTGCTCTCTCTCTCTCTGATGGTCAAACAGTTGGGAGGAGGGAGGGGTGAAGTTGGTCGGGTGGGGGGGGGGCTCAAATGAGAAAAGAAAACAGGAAGGTTTAGGAAGAGTAGGGAGTGGTTAAAAAGAGATCGATTAAGAGAATTGAATTTTTTTGATTGAAAATAATATTAAAAATTACATTTTTTCATTTCTTTAAAGTACACATTTCAATAATAAAACGAAATTTCTCAAATAATAACCCCGATTTACTTCAATCAATTTTAAAATTTTTAGAACTGTTTGTTTTTTCCTCGTTTACTATTCTGTTTTTTTTTTACTTTCAAAATGTTTAAATATCGAACTTTTATGTGTTATACAGTACTGTCATTTTTCTGGTAGAAAAAAATTCTGAAATTATATTTTTCTCTCTTGTTCATTGATAAATCAATTATTTTATGGCTGGTTAAAATATTTAGTTTTTGGGAAGAATAACTTTGATATCATTATATTCTCTCCTGTGTGAAAAAATGTATAATGGTTTAAAAAATATGCTCTCATAAAAATATATTTTAAAATATTTAGAAAAGGTTTAGATAATTTTGAATATAATTAAGATCTGGAGGTTTTAAACGTTTTGTTAAACAAACACTTTTTTAGTAATATATAACTTTATTGTACATTTAAAAATTTTACTAAAAATTCTTCATAAATACAATTTTTCTAGGGAACCCGGAAATGTTGATCATGATCAAACAGAAGCCCACTTTTTAGATTTAAATTCTTTTATACCTTTACTATTTCCCAGTACGCCAAACACTGGAATTAACAAACAATATTATGCATGTTTAAGCGTTGTGTTTGAACATCCTGACCTTTCTCTGCTCTTTACGAGATTAACGTGAAAATAGTTTTAAACAATGTTAATTCATGGAATATACTTCTGCTTAAATACAATGTTAAAATGTAAATCTCAGAAATTCACTATTTTGGTTTTGAAATGTGTTCAATGTTCATATTTTACAAAATTTCAGGTCAATACATTTTTATTTAGAATTTTTAGCAAGAACTTCATATTTTCATGATTATTTTTGTGTAATCAAACATACATGTATCATTAAAAATATTTGCAAATATTTGTTATTTTATTTTTGAAAGTAAAATACAAACTTTTGTCTCAAATAGGCTAATTTTATGACGATGTGATGTGATTAGATCAAAGTGATATATATATATATACAATTAGCCCCATTTATTGAAAGCGAAGGATTAAAATAATTAAGATTTTGTTTGTGATAATAATAATTCGAAATCATCTGTGCGCGATTTCTTTTAATCTATGTGCGTATGTTTTTATGATGAGTGCGCGTATAGATGTCTAAAACGCATTTAGCTGTTCCTCTGATTTAAGACATATGGCGGCAAATCAATTAATGAGAACCCGAAAACGGGCAAAACATTACAACCTCAAGGCCCATCCCTCCCTCCATCTTATTTACAAAGAGAACATGTTTACAACTAATTTAGAAGATGGGCGCGAAGCGCCCTCTAAGGCTAGAAAGAAGGGTGCGAAGCGCCTTGAATTTCTAGTTCTTTTATATTCTTATCTCGTTTTTCCTCTCACATTGTTCACATTTTTATCTTAGTTTTACGTCTCTAGCTTACCATCCTTTACATTAATGATTTTTTACAATTTTCTCTCTCCCCCCACCCCTCGTGTCTTCATCTCTTTATAACTGCATGTAAGAAATCTAGATGATGATTACTTTACTCTAACTCTAATACGAGTCTAACTGACTCTCTATCTCTCTAGCCAAAACTCAAGGCTCAAAGCACAACTGTGTAAAACAACGAGTAGTACTCAACTGATTTATTTCTATATACAGGTGAATGAACTGACCGGGATAGCCCGATACGGTCAACTTACAAATCGTTAAGAATTAATAATAATCATAGATAAAGTAGATAGCATTAAGAACATAGATAACATAGATTGCATTAATACAGATTATATGTTACATGCATAACTCCTTGAATTACTTATTGATTATATTTTATCCATATTTACTTCATAAATCCTAAATCCAAACCTATAAAATCACTATGCCTCCCAGTCCCCCATCCTCTCCTATAATATCAAAATAACAGTATCAAATAACAAGCTATCGTCCTACTCTAACGTTTAACGTCCCCCAAAGTATTAGCCCCTCCCCCCTTCCCCACCACCCCCTCTTCATCTTTAATCAAGGCCTATTCCCTAGGTCCAGTCAATTAAGACTTTCTTTGCCTAAAAACCTGTTAACTGTCCTATATAAGCTGTTCTAGCACGTTCTAGCAGTTTTCTATCTGTTGTCAAATCTGTCTCCTCTAAATTCCCCCCTCTCCCCCCGCCCTTTCCCCTCTCCTTCCCCTCGAAAACGCGATAATTTAACCGGAAACATCTATATTTGCGGTCAACTGGAAACTATTTACAAGCTTTTAACATTCCTTTCATCCTTATACTTCAGGTTCCTCCAAGGTTGTATAATAAGGTTAGTTATTCTCGATGCGCTACAATGTACGGAAACTGGCGTCTCCTAAGAAAGATAGATAGATACCCAATATGACGTCACTGATTTTAGAGGCGAGAGTGACGTCATATTGGGTATTTATCTATCTTTCTTAGGAGACGATATTTTCCTAACATTGGAGCGCATCGAGAGTAACTAACCATACTATACAACCTTGGGTTCCACTATCCACAATTTAATCCTCTAACCATTATACAGGGCCGCCAGGATTCAATTTTCACACTTGGTAAACAAAAGTATTTGTTCTATATTTTCAAACTGCTGAACAGCTGTTGACAAGAAAAGAAGGTTTCGAATTCTTTATGTAAAAGATTGGGTTTTTTTTTCTCACTTTTTGTGTAAAATGAAAAATAGAAAAGCTAAGAGGACGCAAAGACGTTCTAGTAATTTCTCATAAAATAATTTTTCCAATAGCATAATTCTATGAACTTGCAAAGGAATTTTAAATTTTTGTTATTTTATACAAATGTGTAATGTTGTAAATTTTCATATAGATTGGGGAAAATCTCGTACAGTTTCATGCTCATCTATGCTTTATTTATAAATTACGAGACAACTCCATAACAAATTCATTGGGCCAGGGTTGCCTGCATCTACATAAGCAACGTTCCTTGACACTATGTATGATTGTCAAGTGTCTCCGTCTGTATCAAGTGACCAACATACTGCATTGCCATTGGTGGGAGTTCTGGTCACATGATACGGGCGTATTTATTACATCATCAATTATTTATATTAAAAATGAAAAATTATCAAATTCAAATTATAAAAGGAGGAAACCAAAGTTTTTTTAAGGCTTTTCTGGGATATCATCGTTTTTAGGTTGGTTGCGTATTTGCTGAATATGATCTGTTTAAAACTACAATTTTTATACAAAATTTTTTAAATATATATTTTCGTATAAATTCGACACAGATTTGTATCAATTTCTCGAGATAGGAACATTCTATAGAACTCTTATGGGTCTCTATCAACCCCTTAAAATGCAGGTTTCAGCCTATACCCCTTTCATTTTTCCTTTACAGTCCCTTTAAATATGTACAAAAGTCAATACTGTACAGTGTACAATGTAGTGTCCGTGGGTATTTACATTTTTGATGAATTTTATTAATACTTTGAATTACGAAATATTACATGTTCTTTTTCATTTATTTAATGTTTCATTTAAAGGTTAATGATACAGTTTAACCGTCTATCTTATTGATTAGGGACTAGGATATTCATGAGGAGGAGATGAGGGCCTGTACCGAGGGAGGGGGAGATGAGGGCCTTTACCGAGGGAGGGGGAGATGAGGGCCTGTACCGAGGGAAGGGGAGATGAGGGCCTGTACCATGGGAAGGGGAGTTTATATTGATTTTTATCTGAAAATTAATAACATTTTATTGTGAATTTTCAATAAATCTGAGCTGCGGATTTATTAGCAGTGTTAAAGTATGAAATGAAGAAAACAAAAGATGGGTTGAAACCTGCTGTCAGAGATTCCAGCTTGGACAATTTTCATAAAGTGTCCAATAGGTTTAAGTGCAATTGGAATTGGGAAGGAAGGCGAAAGGGAGAGTGTTACATTCGACACTTCTACACATCGTTGACGTCTCATACATAGACATAGATAAGACAATAGACATAGCCATAGACAAAGATGTGTATTCACATACATAGTTATATTCTTTATAAAACATGTGTATATTATACAATATACACAAATATAGGTAAATATAATTTATCTATTCGTATAAACATAGAATAAAAAATTGCTTATTTAATAAAATTTCTATTATTTTATTTGCAGAAAAGATGGGACCTGGCTTATGATTTGAGCAGAAGAAGATATGTATGGAGCGTGAATTAAGTGAAGCTGCATTAATAATGAGTTAAACTAATGTGCTAAATGTACACAACCAAGATGAGACGAGATATATCGTCAATACCTCCTTCTATGCATTCAGGAACATTCCCATTTAACTCAAGCTTAATACACAGAGGCGCAATTGCAGCATTTTTTAGAAGGGGGGGGGGGGAGATATTTTTATAGGTGTGAAAATGTGTTTAAAAAATGATTCTTTGAATTTCAATATTTTTTGGTCATACTTCTTTGTACTATACAAGCCATTTAAAAATCTTGTTTTAGTTTTAAATCCGATTTCGGACAATTTATTTTAAGTTTTAATATTTCCATCAAATTGTTTTTTTCTTTTTCTGATCTTTGTGTAATAGTTTAAATATGCAACTCATCTGAATACTCAACAAAATCCGGCTTTTTGATTGATTTCAGGATCTATCTATCAATCACTTTGTATCAATTCTGTTTTTGCCTTTTTGTCTGTGTATCAATCTATCTGTTTGTCTGTGTATCTATCTACCTGTTTGCCTGTGTATCAATCTATCTGTTTGTCTGTGTATCTATTTACCTGTTTGCCTGTGTATCTGTCTCTCTGTTTGTCTGTCTATCTATCTGTCTGCTTTCTGTCTATCTATCTATCTGTTTGTCTGTCTATCTATCTATCTGTTTGTCTGTCTATCTATCTATCTTTTTGTCTGTCTATCTATCTATCTGTTTGTCTGTCTGTCTATCTATCTGTTTGTCTATCTATCTATCTATCTGTTTGTCTGTCTATCTATCTATCTGTTTGTCTATCTATCTATCTGTCTGTTTGTCTATCTATCTATCTATCTATCTGTTTGTCTATCTATCTATCTATCTGTTTGTCTGTCTATCTATCTATCTATCTGTTTTTCTGTCTATATACGGAATACAAAATACAAGTACAATTGTTAAATATTTCCAAAGAAAATTATAAATTTATCAGAATACAGAAAAGAGTTGATTAAATTTCTTAAAAGTTTCTTTTCTAGATCAAATCAGTCGTAATTTTAAGTTCCCGTATATCTTTAGAGTAACCTGTTCGATTAAAACCTCTATATGAGTAACATATTCGATTAAAACCTCTATATGAGTAACATGTTCGATTAAAACCTCTATATGAGTAACATATTTGATTAAAGCCTCTATATGAGTTACATGTTTGATTAAAACCTCTATCTGAGTAACATTTTCGATTAAAACCTCTGTATGAGTAACATGTTTGATTAAAACCTCTATATGAGTAACATGTTTGATTAAAACCTCTATATGAGTAACATGTTCAAGTTAAACCTCTATATGAGTAACATGTTCGATTAAAACCTCTATATGAGTAACATGTTTGATTAAAACCTCTATATGAGTAACATGTTTGATTAAACCCTCTATATGAGTAACATGTTTGATTAAGACCTCTATATGATTAACATGTTCGATTGAAACCTCTATATGAGTAACATGTTCGATTAAAACCTCTATATGAGTAACATGTTCGATTAAAACCTCTATATGAGTAACATGTTTGATTAAGACCTCTATATGATTAACATGTTCGATTGAAACCTCTATATGAGTAACATGTTCGATTAAAACCTCTATATGAGTAACATGTTCGATTAAAACCTCTATATGAGTAACTTGTTTGATTAAAACCTCTATATGAGTAACATGTTTATGTATACATCTATCTGTATATTTGTTTGTCTATCTACTTTATATGCTTATCTGTTTGTCTATACATCTATCTATTTATTTGTTTGTCTATACATCTATCTGTATATCTGTTTGTCTATCTATCTATATGTTTATCTGTTTGTCTATACATCTATCTATAAATTTGTTTGTCTATCTATCTATATGTTTATATGCCTCTGTGGCATGTTGTATAAATTATCAGAAATTGGCCTGCAGATTAGAAACTGACAAATATTTTCATTTCTTGTGATTTTTAAACTTTCAATTTCACACAATTTGACGTAGGTGGCTCACAGGGCTCACAGGCAACCAGACAATTTAGGCCAAATTTGATATTTCATAATATTTGTAAGTAATCCTATTTATTTTCCAATTATTATTATTATCTATATATATATAGATAAAGTAGTAATCTGTGTCTGTTTGTTTCCTAGATGTCCTATCATAACTCAAAAACCCCTTGACCGATTTGCCTCAAATTTTGATTGGGCAATTTGGGAGAACCACGAGATTGTTTTCAATTTTGTTTTGAGATTCTAAGTTGAGTGTGTCGACTTTTATAAAAAATAGCTAAAAGCGTAATTTTAAACTAAGCGCGGGTAAACGGCGGGATTAGCTATGCGTATCCTAGAAAACGCTGGGTTCCCAAGCTAGTAATAGATATAATCATTTAATGTGGATGGGATGTAGGAGAGGGAGGTGAAGGATGTGAAGTGGTAGAAGGAGGAGAAGGTGGAGAAGGTGGAATATGTAATTGTCAAGTTTATCTAGATCCATTCCCAGCACCAGGCACATTTTCTTGGAGGTAAGGGAGCTTTTTATTATTTTTTTTTAGACGTAAAATTATTTTAGGAGTTTGGAAGTTTAGAAGGTTGGGTTTTAAGGAGTTGAGGTGTTTAGAAAATAAAGCTTTTAGGAGTTTAAAATTTTAGATTATGGAGTGTAGAGGTTTAAGGTTGAGTTAGATGTTTAAAGAGCTGCATGCCAGATTTACAACGGTACCCTTTACTGCATGGGCACCTATAATCTTAAACATGTTAAATACTTTGATTCAATTCCATATCTCGTCTGCAGATTCACAATGGTACCCTTTACACCGTTATCAACATGAGCACCTATCTTAAACATGTTAAATACTTTGATTCAATTCCATCTCTCGTCTGCCGAAATCCAAAAAATCATTTAAACAGAGAGATTACTGTTAAAAATTAATTATGAACTACAGAAAACGAGAATATATATAATACTTGACACCGTACTCAACAGTCACTGCATACAGCTTTGCAAATGGAGGAAATCTTGAAATTACGTCTAGAGTCTCTTTAAGGAGTTTTATTACTACTATTTTTCTATCTTTCTGTCTGCCTAGAATTGAATGTTACTACTATTTTATTTTGTCAGAATAAATTTAGAAACTGGTTTTATCAAGTAATTAATTTCTCCATTCATTTTATCTAACCTGTGTGTTAATTTTCAAGTATTTTGTTATTAAGGGGGGTAGGGGGTATTATATAAATAAATACTTTTAAATTTTAGAGTGTTACATATATAACTATAATTTCTATAAGAAAATTGTTGCAGTTAAATCTACAATATAGAAATATTAAAAATGGTTTTTTTACATTTCGTTAATAACATTTGCAAGATTTAGAATGTTCTGATTTAACAACTACTTGTAATTGTAGATACAGCCTTGTAACATAATTCGCAAATCACATAATATTTAATATTTCCATGATTTAGTCTGGAACTAAAATAAGCTTTTATCCAAACTGGTTCTGCTGTTCTGCTAATTATATATTCAGAATAAATAAATAATTTGACTCCCCCTTCCTTGATAACACCTCTGAGTTGGAATAAGAAGAAGCAAAACATTTATAAGTGTGTGGGAAAAACCTTGATAACAAGAAAATTTCGATATTTTGAAAATTTATGAATTTGAACTTACACTTTTCCTTTTAGTTTCTTCAAACTTGAATTAAAGGGACCCTTTAATTGAAGTCGTAATTTTAAGTTACCGTCCATTTTTAGAGTAACATGTTCGATTAAACCCTCTATCTAAGTAACTTGTTTGATTAAAACCTCTATCTGAGTAACTTGTTTGATTAAAACCTTTATCTGAGTAACTTGTTTTATTAAAACCTCTATCTGAGTAACATAATCGATAAAAAAACCTCTATATGAGTAACATGTTCGGTTAAAACCTCTTTCTGAGTAACATGTTTGATTAAAACCTCTTTATGATTAACATGTTCGATTAAAACCTCTTTATGAGTAACATGTTTAATTAAACCCTCTGTATGAGTAACATGTTCGATTAAAACCTCTATATGAGTAACATGTTCGATAAAAACCTCTATCTGAGTAACATGTTTGATAAAAACCTCTATATGAATAACATGTTCGATTAAAACCTCTATCTGAGTAACTTGTTTGATTAAAACCTCTATCTGAGTAACATGTTCGAATAAAAACTCTATATGAGTAACATATTCGATTAAAAACTCTATATGAGTAACATGTTCGATTGAAACCTTTATCTGAGTAACTTGTTTGATTAAAACCTCTATCTGAGTAACTTGTTCGATTAAAACCTCTATCTGAGTAACATGTTCGATAAAAAACCTCTATATTAGTAACATGTTCGGTTAAAACCTCTTTCTGAGTAACATGTTTGATTAAAACCTCTATATGAGTAACATGTTCGATTTAAACCTCTATATGAGTAATTTGTTCGATAAAAACCTCTATATGAGTAACATGTTCGATTAAAACCTTAATCTAAGTAACTTGTTTCATAAAAACCTCTATCTGAGTAATTTGTTTGATTAAAACCTCTATCTGAGTAACTTGTTTGATTAAAACCTCTATCTGAGTAACTTGTTCGATTAAAACCTCCATCTGAGTAACATGTTCGATAAAAAACCTCTATATGAGTAATATGTTCGATTAAAACCTCTATATGAGTAACATGTTTGATTAAAACCTCTGTATGAGTAACATGTTCGATTAAAACCTCGATATGAGTAAAATTTTGATTAAAACCTCTATCGGAGTAACATGTTTGATTAAAACCTCTATATGAGTAACATGTTCGATTAAAACCTCTATATGAGTAACATTTTGATTAAAACCTCTATCTGAGTAACATGTTCGATTAAAACCTCTATATGAGTAACATATTTGATTAAAGCCTCTATATGAGTAACATGTTCGATTAAAACCTCTATATGAGTAACATTTTGATTAAAACCTCTATCTGAGTAACATGTTTGATTAAAACCTCTATATGAGTAACATGTTCGATTAAACCTCTATATGAGTAACATGTTTGATTAAAACCTCTATATGAGTAACATGTTTAATTAAAACCTCTATATGAGTAACATGTTTGATAAAAGCCTCTATATGAGTAACATGTTCGATGAAAACCTCTATCTGAGTAACAATGAGGAAGATATCGTCGTTTTTATATCTTGAAATATGTTGAATTTCCATGTCTTTAAAGCTTAATAAACGCAAGTCACATTAAAAGAGAACCCTCAATTGAAAATCAGACAAGGGTTATAAGGGTACTGTTGTGTTCAATCAAAATAAAATAACGTCAGCATTTCCTTTATGGAAAACACAAACTTCAATTATCGTAATTATTACTGTATTAAAGTGTCTAACACTTCAAGTTTCTGCTACAAGGTTTCACCGGAAGTGGATTGGCCGGAAACCCTTGAATGTTCATAATTCAAGCATTGCCTGGGGAAAACGAACCTAAGGGGGGGGAGTGTTAGTTTAGATTTACTAGATTTGTCATATTAATAGAAACGTGTTAACATTAGAGAGAGAAAAATAAACTTATTTATAACCTTATAAGCCTAATTTAAAAATGGCAAAACTGTTTAGTTTTATATTTGTTTTATGAGAAGTCAAATTTTTAAATATCTTATTTCATGTTAAATCAACTTCCTTCTTGTATAGACTTAAAATGAACAGCTGAAAAAAAATAATTCATTTTTATAGCCCCATGTTACCCTAAGGGAACCAAGGGGTTTCTATCTATCTATCTATCTATCCATCTATCCAACTACCCATCTATCCAACTACCTATCTATCTATCTATCTATCTATCTATCTATCTATCTATCTATCTATCTATCTATCTATCTATCTATCTATCTATCTATCTATCTATCATCTATCTATCTATCTATCTATCTATCTATCTATCTATCTATCTATCTATCTATCTATCTATCTATCTATCTATCTATCTATCTATCTATCTATCATCTATCTATCTGTCTTTCTATCTAACCTATCTATCTATCTGATCCATCCTAGGATTCGTATATTTAAATGTCCCTCACATGAAATGTGACAAATCTCCTCTATATTTTCAACCTTCAGGAAATTAGGTTTGAATTGCTCAGTAAATCACAGGGATGAATATTTCTCAATATTTTTTTGTGTGATTTATTTTTTATCTATTAGTAATTTATGTACTCATTGATATATAATTCAATACAAATATTAGAAATAGCTATCAAAGGCCTAAAACATAAACGAAATGATATAAATCACTAAAATGCTTTATGAGGGCAGAATGAACTGTCAAATTCCACGTGAAACTATGTAAAGGAACTGAGTTCTTGTAACAAATCCACATTTGCTAATCCCAATATCTTTACATTCCACTGAAATTAACCATAGATATTTCAAACTATGAATTATGTTATATAAAGTAACCTTAGTTTGAAATATCAAAGGTTTACTTCATCAGGTTGCAAAGATATAAGGCTTAGAAATGTTGAGTTTGTGGCAAAAACTCAACTCCTTTAAGTTATATTTAAATCTTTCATGTTTTTAATCAAACTCCTTCCATGAAAGACCTCTTGAGAGACTTGAGAAGACACAAAAATTTCCAGTATATAACCAATAAAATTAGCTTTTCCATACTTAAAATCAAAACTTCGAGAAGCTGTTTGACCGTCTCCTTCTGTATAAAGGGGAGTGTGAATTATCAATCTTTTTGATAGGCATCAAGAAATAACTGCTCTTCAATGAGAGCACATTAATAAAATCTCTAAAACATAGGAATTGAGGCTTTGCCACAAACTAACATTTTATAAATCTTTGCAACCGACAGGTTGAACACTTTCAAACTTAAATTGATTTATCTAGTAGAATTCATAGTTTGAATTGGATTGCGAATATAAGGGATAAGGAAATCAATGTTTGTGGCAAAGACTCAATTTCTTTAGCGTATTACTGTATTTCTGTTTTTAAATCCCGTAATATATGGGTAAAAGAACTGAATACTTGCCTTAAATAATAATTTTCTAATTCTTATATCTTTTCAACCTGATGTCGTAGACCTTTGATATTGCAAAGATATCATACACGTGGAGTTTGAGGCGAGTAGTTCCCGAGCAACTTATTTTTTAAAAGTTAAATATTTACAAGTTTCAAAAAGTTAAATTTCCTTTTGTTCCCTAAAAGTAGTACAAAACACACAATACCTAGATTTAATAATAAGTTTTAAATTTTCATGCAAATATTAAGGTGCAGTATTTTAAGCAGTTCTTTTGTTAAACTAGCTTTGTTCAAGATAAACAAAGGATATTTGTATTTTAAACACTGTGTTACAAATATGATTGTTATTAGTTTAGATGCATTGCAATATTCACTTTCTTACATATTTATTGATAACTGTCTGATCTTAAACTTGTTCGCCAAGAACTAAACTTTAACACTGTCTTTTTTGTTAATTAAAAGGTGAACTTTTTGTAGAATCATAAAAGAGTAAAAATA